GTAATTCAAATTTTAATATGTTAGGATTTGCAATGATCGACGGGTGGTCGGATATTTTTTGGAGGGGAGTGTACATGCGAAATTATGGTTTTTTCGGGCGGAATTTATTAAATTTAACAATAGATTTACATTTCTTTAATGAAGAAGCTTCCAGTTTTTTTTAAAATCGTAAAAATATTAATATCAGATTGTAAGAAGGAATATATACATCGCCTCCATCGTAATTACCTTTGATTTTATGATCATGAAAAGCGCTTGTCAAATGCATTTATTCGAAAGTTATTTTGATAATCTTAATAATCAAAATAAGAATTTTAATTTCATAAAAGAATGTTATATTCGAAATTTAATTTTACGATTACAATAAAAAAAACTCTTCTATTGAACGAATATAAAAGTTTAACATATAAAAAAATAAAATAATAATTGTATATCGAACTAATCGTGCAAGTATTCATTCAGGATTACAATAACGTAAAGGAAATTTCATTCAAGGATGAAAAACCTTGAGTATTCCCTCGAAGCATAGCAGAATTTTCTCATCTGGATTCGAAACTAATAACAAATAATAAGAAAAGGATTATTAATTCATGAACAATTAACAAACATTAAAATTATTTTGTCAATTACATACTGGTGACTCTCGTATAAATTGGAGTTACAATATTCTTTGGTTCATTAGAATCATCTTTCTCTATAGGCAAGGTTGCAGCAAAGTCGAAATTTCCTTTTTCAAATGGGCAAACGAACCCGCTTGGTTCGACAAATAATTCACAAAATTCAAATTCATGCTCGAAATTTCCTTTAGGATCATGATAAATTCTCATCATTGCACCTTTTTCAATAACTTCATCCGTTTCACCAACCATGTAAACGGTTAAATTTTGACCCGCAACAAGAGGATTTGGAGATAACCCCAATATAGTAAGATTTATTGCGTAGTCTCCGTCGCATATTTTTAAGTTATCGAAAGAAGGTTCTTGACGTTTTCGTAAATCCAATGGAGTTGGTTTGACGAATGATGCTAAGATCAAGGAAATACAGACTAAAGTTATAATTCGATTCATCATTTTCAAAAATTACTTGCTTATATTAGAATTCGAGAATGAAAAGCTTTGTAATGTTTGAAAGTAGAAAAACAAAAATAAAGAAGGCGAACGACGCTGGTTTTATATTCGCGAAACTTGAGTAAAAGAAATTAGATTACGATTGATTAAATTTTTCAATCGTTATTGTTTAATTTCTTTATTTGAAACTACAATAAGAAATCAACTTGCATCATGCACTTTTTTTTTTTGGCGGGAATTTCTTGGCAGCAGTCGTATTTGCCTCATTATCGTGTAAAACCGGATTTCTATATCTAGTAAATTTATAATGATATCATTATTTGTTAATAGTAGAGCTTCCTTATAGAAAGTTCTAAGTCATTTAAAGCAAATATGAATAATGTACTTTATTTAAAGAGATTTTATTAATGGCAAACAAAATTTCTGTTCATCCCATGCACGCAGAAATTACATAATGTTATTTTAAATATGAAGGTATTTAGTTTATAGTCAATGAGAATTAAAAGAACGACTTTCTGTAATAATATTCTTTAGAAAATATAATGAAGATATTTATATTATGAGGAATATATCAATCAAAATTCATTTGAGTTCATATTAAATAAAGAATAGATAATTGGTCCAACTTCTAAATAATATTGCAAGATTCTGGAAAGAACAATCGCGTTAATATTCGTAGCAAAGAATGAAATAAAGAATGATTTTCTGAGACGACATTTTTTAATTTTATTTAAAAACGTCACATTCGTCCATCGACTGGTTTTTCTAGTTGAACTTTCTTAGCATGTAAGCTTTATTATTGCTTAGTTTTATTAATTAATAACTTTGTATATACAAATATGAAAATAAAGAATATTGTAACAACAAATTTCATTATAATCATTCTTTTTTCATAACTCTTTCAGTATTTTACGTTTTTTTAATATTCGACATATAAAATTAAATAAAAAACTTATATTATCGTAAGAAATACATGGATAACACGAGACTAAAAAATAAATGCAAACTATATCAGGATAAAGATTAGCATATCCTTCGAAACAAACATGATTTTTTTCCATCCGGTTTAGAAATTATGATTAATTGATCAAAAAAATTTTCAAATGAGTTTTAAATTTTTTTTTAAAAAAAAAAATTTATGGGTTCATACATAAGTATCATTTTCGTATATAGATTTTCTGAAACATTTTAGGTACTTCCAAAAACATAATTGTGGTCAAGTTGAAATTTCCTTCAACTGGACATGCGAATTCACTTTGCTCAGCAAAATCCTTACAAAAATCTGCTTCATATTCAACTTTTCCGCTTTGATCGTGATAAACCTCATCATTGCACCTTTTTCAAAAAGCTTCATTTGTCACACGAGCGAACCGGATAACCCAAGGATAACAGGATTTTGGATTTTAGGTGAATGTATTAATCGTGACTGGATAAGCGTCATCGCAACTTTTAAAGCTAGGCAAGTGAGAAGAATTTCTCGTAATTCCAATGGAATTGGCTACACGATCGATGCCAAGTTTCAAGAAAATTCCAAGTAAAATAATTGGTTACAAAATAAAGAGCAGAACTTAAGAGATCAAGGGAAACACCATGTAAATCATAATGCGTCTCATTTGTTTATCTTTGAATCTAAAAATCAAAGGAGCTTTAGTATTTTGATTGCAAAGAGAGAAACGGTATAATCAAAATATCAAATGACAAAAAAAAAAAAAATTCTTGAAACGACAATGTGAAATGATGGTTGTATTCAAAGTATTTTGAAGGCGTAACTTGCATCGCATCGTATGAATAAAAAAAAAAAAAAAAAAAAAACCTTTTTTGAGTCAAACAATGAATTTAGGATTATCGTGAAACGCCAAATAAAACATTCTTATAATTACTTTTTTTTATACTGTACATTGAAACCCATTATAGCGAATATTAAAATTTGATTAAAATAAAACAAAGAACCACATTTCAAGTAGAGTTACAATCCGTAAATTCGGATTTCCGTCATCTGTCGGATAAATTTGAGCGATCGGATAAAAATTCATACGACGGATCGGATGACGGTTTGTTTCAGATGAAGGTCAGATCATCCGTTAAATTTAGAAAGTGATTTACCCAATATAAAGTCGTCGATTTTTTTTTTTTTTACGAATTTTTCTTGAAGGTCTTCAACTTTTCCTTTCCTCCTTGGAGGTTAGTAAAGGATTTTTAATACCAGCTCGATACTACTCCTTTGTTTAACTTTATTATTTGCTAACTA